TCTGCAATGGTCTGTGGTTGACTGGTTGTATGAGTGTTGTGCTATTTTTCACCGTAGTCTTTGATTACTTAGAGGCCTGAAAGACGAGGAGAATATAGGTTAGACTTTGGAAAAAAGAATTTTATTGATTTTTTATAGCTCATTGAAAATCTTGAAAACAAATCCAAACTATTCTGAAAAGGGAGAAGGGAAATGAGAACATTATCAGTTTATGCAATAATGCAGTCAATGGTTCCAAATAGGTTGGAAAGCAATTGGTTTGGCCCTGTGTAAAGACAAATGCATAAAATTATAATACAAAAACATATTCCAAGTGATTGAGATAGTGAGAATAAAGATGGTGAACTATCGAGTCATGATTTTTCTTAGCGGCCCTTCTATTCAAATCAAACAGAAGAAGGTGATATTTTTTATATCACATGGGAATCTCTTAACTGGTTTAAAGTTCTATAGAACCATTGACATGTTATCCAAAAAGGGTAAGATTAGATCCCATGTTGGAATTTTTTTTCCTTTGGCTTATAGGAGTTTTGTCCCCAAAAGGAACATCTGACGTAAATGATGACTTTTTTTCAGGAAAAAAAAAAACATAAATGATGACTTGATAAGCAGTTAAGTGAACAGGATGGTTGCCTAATGTTCAGTAGGAAAAAGGGGGGAAAACTGATGGGCCACAGAAACAACGGAGGCTTGAAGATTTCTTATTCATCATTTTTAGGAAGTAAGAGTTTTTGTAGGTGTGTGGAGCTACAAAGACAAGGATGTATACTTAATGGATTCCCCATCATTGATAGTTCTCTGGAACAATGTTTATTTGAATGAACATTGTAAGATTTCGACTATTCATTCCAAAAAGTAATCAAAGCTGCATTGTTAGGATGTGAAGTTCATTCATATCACAGGCTTCTTCACTTAACTGGAGAGGTTGAAGTGTCTCTGTATAACTTGCTAATACTGACAATTAAGTAAGACTGTAAAATATAATGAAAAGTACTTTAGATGATTCTTTTTGGTTCAGTACTGATAGTTAAGTAGATCATATTACCGCTGTATTGTACTGGCTGCTTTAGCCGCTGCTCCCACTTGGATATGGATATGGGTACCGGCCAGACTCAATGTCTTTGAGATCCTTGACTAGGATATCATAGTGCATCTTGACTTCCTCAACTGACTTTCCACCCACGGCCTCGGCAACATTGTGCCAGCGGTCAGGGGTGTCCTGGTCATATTTAGCCAGGGCCCTTTCGAACGTTTTGTTTTGCTTAGGTGTCCAGGAGGAGCTAGAGCAATTTGAAGAAGTGCGAAAATTGGATGTCATAAGTGAAAATATAAGTTGAACTGAAAACAGAAGTTTTTTTTTACAAACTCTGGATCAGAAAGACTGGAAATTAAAATACTTTGATTCCTGAATTTGAAAGAGAGAGAATAGAGTGAAGCTTGTAAAAATGATGCGAGGGAAAAGATGGGGTTGCTTCTCTTAAAGACAGTTACTTGAACTTCGAGGGGTGGTATGGGAAAGATATCATGAAAGGAGCTCCTTATAAGCAGGAGGAAAAGTATGGTGGGGTTGGGCCGCTTGGGCGAATATATCCTCCAAAATGACAGAGTATAATGTGATGGGACCCGTCTCCTTAGGAACCACTAGATGGAGCAGCACAAGAAACAAAAAAGTAAAAGAGAAGAATAGATACCCAAGGACAGCCTATAACTTTCAATACCATACCGTATTCCTTGATTAGTTCTTTGGCAACTGGGATTCGCCTTGCAAGTTACTAATTCAGTGAAAAGAAAAATCAGATATAGATACCATTAGCTGGAGCTTACTCATCCCCTGTCGTGTTCTGATGGTCCATCAATTAGCGAAGCAGTAGTTGCATTAGTTAAAGATAACTAATACATTTTCATTTAGGATGAAAGTGGACATCAGAGGTGTGTATATAAGCTACGAAAGTTAAAATCCGTTAGATTTTGCCCTCATATTGGTATTGTTGGAATCTTTTCTTTTTTAGTTTTGGATCCTAGTATAAAATTTAAAAAATACAAAGGGATAATTAAAATAATTAAAAACATAAGGTCATAAAACCAAAGTTTAGCAGTTTTACTGTTTTTTATAATTGCAAAGATTTACTTCATAGTTTTCCTTTTCCTTTTATTCTTGTGTTACAAGCATGTGAAGAAATTTCCACTATAAGTTAACCTTTGCCAATGGTTCTAGGCTTCTAGCTGGCTTCTGGAGACATTAGCAGCATATCAGTGTTGATTTGGCATGTTTGGAACGAAGTTTTAAAAATAATACGTGTTTCACTTTTCCCCAAAAGAAATTTCAAAACCTTGAAGTAGCTGCCAAAGTTTTGATGAATTTCATGTGAAAGAGATCATCATGTGCCTTGCTTATTGAACTCAAGAAGAGGGTTGACCTTTACATTAATGGTACGGAGCTTTGAACCAAAACTAAAGGCGCCCCATTGATTCTTAAGGTCGCTTTTTGGTGTTTCCAGTTATACGTACAAAAACCATAATCGTTGGTTGTGGAAATTAGTGGTCTTTCTGCTCAGCTCTCAGTTAAGTGAACTAGATAAAAGATATGCAACTCTCTTAAAATTAGGGATTAAATAAGGTTTAATACATTTTTAGGTGCCTCAATTATATTTTAAATTAATTTTTGGTGCCTAAAGAATTTTTTGATAAAAATAAGTTTGTAATTTTTTCCCGTTATACTTTTAGGTATCTACTGTTAAAAAAATCGTTAAGTGACATGTGTCATGTTCAATATTTTTAAAAATATTTTAAATATATATATATATATACAAAACATGTCATTTAACAATTTTTTTAACAATAGAAAAAATCTTTTAGATATCAAAAGTCAAATTGAAATATACTTTAACACTTAAAATATATTAAGCCATTAAATAAGGCCAAAGTGCCGTACAGTCCAGCTGAACGAAGGGTCCCAGTCTCCCAGAGAACTTGTTCTGACCTGGGGAACCGGTTGGAAAAAACTTCCAAACTCTAATTAATTGTATTACGTGGTTGTTACATATACCATAAATAAGGGTTGCTTCAAACGTTGGAATAACCATAGTTCTTTACTTTGATCAGCTAAGCAACCATATGTTGAACTTGTATAAACCATAAATTGCACAGTTGCTCTAGTGTAATTGCGTCCAGCTCTTTAAGATTAATATTGTTTAATTAAATTAATTGATTTTGTTAATTAATTTAATTTTAATCGAACAATAAAAACCCCTATACATTAAATAATAAAGCTCAATAGTGCTAGAAATTTGTGTAGTTTGTCATTGGGCACCCTACTGACCGCTAGCAAATCTTGCTGATGAATCTTATCATTTGCGGCTTTTTAATCTATTACTCTCTTCTCTGACACACAGCTTGTGTGTGTGACGATTGATTCTTCCACTTGCTATTATTCCAAACAAGACAGAGATTGAATTCTTACTAAAATATAAATTACTCTTTGGTACGTGAGGCATATAGATTCTCAACCGAAGATAATATCTAGGCATATACCCCAGAACTTTGCTTGCTGACGTGAGGCATATACTCTTTCGTTGAACTGACCTTTTGCAAGTGGAGCTGTGATCGTGTTCATGTGCATGCTTTACAGATAAAATCCAGGAATTGCTTTTGGACAATCGGTCTAAACGAGGAAGGTATGTGAATTTATCCAGCTTTTGTTTGTTTCTTATATATCCATTGATTGTCTTTACTCCGATCTTGCATAGTTAAAATACATCATTCAAATTTAAACGTGTACATGTTGCATAGAGAGATAGTTTGGATCTGATGCGTTAAAAATAACGTGTAATTAAAATTTAATAAAATTATTTTTTTATGTTTAACACATCATAGTCAAGTTGTCTACTTAGTATTGTGGATATTGTTTAAACTTTGATTAACATATTTTAAGTATGTTCCCCATAAGATTTAAATTGACATTTAGGCCTAACTGGTGGTTAGACACTTATGAAAAGTCTTGATTGAAACAATAGTGGTAAAGTCCCAATTAGTATGTTATCAACTTGTTGGATCAATTTAGAATCTAAGTTGTAGTTTGGGGTCTTTTGGTGCAATTAACTCAGTTGTTACACTGTGTGAGTAGTTGTTACTGTTGGCTAGTGGGGCTAATCACTGGATGACAGTGGCTTTGGGTAAATGTGGAGCGAATATGCACTTGTATTGTTTTACCTGATCGTGCAAGATTTGGAATCCCTATTACCGCCTTTTTCCTTTGGGGTTAGATTCCATATTCAATTCTAGACGGATCCATATTAAGAATAGACACATGTATTAATAACAAAAAAATTTGTATGTAGCGAGTACAAACAATTTTAAGATAAATACTTTCGTAAAATGGATAACTAACGTAAAGAAATTCATATTTAAAAGTAAGTACGTGTCCACTTTGTACACTACATACATCCGCCACCGTATTCAAAGAACAGAAGATGCTGCAACAGACCCTCGTAGAAATTCAATATGCATATTAATTAGTGGCGGATTACTCGGATTCTAATACAACTTGTTAATAATGATCCGATCAAGCAGTAAAGTTAAACTTTTGGTCGACGCTAATGAAAGTAAATCCACTAATTATGTCCGGTCTACATCTACTAGCATAAGCATGGAAGCAACTTTCTAAGGGAATATTGGATAAAAGAACAGATGGTTCAAGAAAATTGTGAATAACAAGTGTCTGATATAATATATGTTTAGAATTTTTCTTTAACCTATTAATAATTCACAAACACCTTACAAACGTAAATGTTTGAACTTGACTTCTCCAGGGAGAATACCATTTCTTTATAACATTTCTTTCTATCACTAAAACTACTTAATGGGTTCCTTAATGGATTCCACATGATATTAAATTTATTATATGTTGAATGGATCACATGATACCAAATCCGATAGTCAGACTCAGAAACGTAGTCTTGTATATGTATATGGTTAAAGTTTATCAAGGTTGTACATATGCATGCTTAAAAGGATAATTATAAGACTAGATATAGGCCTTTCAAGAAATGCTTCCATTAGAACATAAATGTTGGTAACAAACTGCAAGAAGCATCCCAAGGGAGAGATGTGAATCCTCTTACCAACATACTACATCATTCACAGGCCGATTCGGAACAAAGCTGCCCTGCCATGGTAACGTCAATGACATAGACCTACGATCTGTGGTGATCATTCGCAAGCAGGTTTGGTGTCAAAACTGCTCAGGCAGATTGTGAATGCTTGAAATGCGGATAGAGGGTAACGATAATCCATGGTGAAGATGTCTTTACCAATTTTTCCAAACTGTAAGATTACCTTCTCTTGCTCTTCCAGTGATACATTATGTGATGGCTCCACAGCTGTGACTAGCTGGAAATTCTTAACAGAGGCCACCGTCACGCGCCCCTTGAAGTTAAGGCACCAGCACTGTAACTGTTCATGCCATCTTGGAGCCTTGTTCTTTAGGGTTAGTGGCTCTCCTGATCCCAGGGTGACTACTTGTGTGGCTGGGAGGGATGGGGGGCTGGTGCCTGTCACTGGTTCCTTTCCTTTTGAACTGGTCAAAGAAGAAAGTTGTTCTTCAAAGGATTTGCCAAATGCTAACGGTGTCGGTGCAGTGCCTCCTTCCTGAATAGCAGATACAGGAATTGAGTGCAAAATACAATCCATTCTCCGTGGCCCCCGTGTTCGCAGAACATTGAGCTCATAGGTAATGGTACATATGCTGCAGTTGGATGAAGATAGTTTTGGAGGTGCCTGCTTTGAATAGGATCTTCGACTCGATTGAGTAGTTGACGGGATTATCCAATCACAGGGAGATTGACTGTCATATATTGTGAACTTGGTACCGAAAAAATTAGACCTGCAAAGAAATTTCAATGTCATAATAGATATTTGTAAGAAAATAACCGCACAAAGATAAGGAATCTAACTGTCAGACTTGCCTTAGTTTACCAACATTCGTATGGCTGTCCCTAGAAAACTCATCAGCAACCAAAGATACAACGAAGTACGTGCATGTAGCCCTTCTGAACTTCCTTGCTGCTAACAACAATTTATCCCTCTCTCCCTCGGCTGTAGATCAAAGAAGCAACATAAGTGAATATTTCTCAAAAAGTATGGAAGCTTCAAAAACAAGTTACCCCGAATATTATATGATTATGAGAATAATTTATGATAACTACAAAGCTAATAAACACTGATTATGTCAGCTCTAGCTTCAATCGTGCACTACGGGAACAGGAAAAATGGAAATGAAATATTAAATCATGTTTCTATCAAAACAGATTCACTTACAAGGCATCAGACCATGGAACAAAAGATATGTAGAAGTTGCTTTGTCCCTTCTAATATAGCATTGAATCGGTGACTCACGAGGCCCGGGCTGTTCATAAACACCAATAGAATATATAAACAACCTTCTAAATGGAAGAATACAATGATAAACAGTCACTCACATTGTTTACTAAGACAGACATTAGAGTTATTGTTGAATGCATATGGCAGTCACAAGTTGCGAAAATTTAGACCGATGGTATAAGCATGTGTTCGTAATACTAAAATTATATATTCGATTACGAGCCAGTATTAGTTTCATTATGGAAAACTCCCACTGTAGAAATATAGATTGCAAGACAACTATGTTCTTAGCAAAAATTTTGGCTTTCCCAAGTAAACTTTACTAACATAGAAATAACCAGTTCATTTGCAATGGATTTGAAGGACATATATTCCGATAGAGAAAAAGTACAACCTGCTTCAGCGAAATGGGGAATGTGAGCCTTCCACATTGCTCAGGGTTCTTGACGATTTCCTTTGTAATCTCCCTCCAAGACCTACAAACAGCTGCACAAGACACAACTGCTGCTCGAGCAGGCCAAGTTGTCTCGCTCTCTTCAACCCTCTGGATGATATCCAGGAGCAGTTCAGGCAGTAGGTTCGACCAAGGGCTTTGGTCTACAGATTCGGGTTCGGTCTGTGATTGATCAGGAGCAACATGGGATCGAGGCCGACTACGCCAACTCTTGCTTTCACCTCCTCTCTTCGATACGTTCCCAATCCCCTCTTTCATTTCCTTTAACTCTCGCATGATACGCTTGAACGACATCTTTCATAAGCATATCAAATCCAATTTCTCAATATTCAACTACAAATATACAACACATCCATTAAAGAGAAACAGCAAAACTTAAAGGTTTTTCCAATATTCAAATCTCAGTTTCTCAGTTCCACTACAAGCAAATTTATATCAAATCAAACTCCAAAAATTAAAATTACCGAAACTTAATTCATAAATTCACACAGACACACACACACACACAAAGCAAAGATCAACAACCAATAAATGGTCTAAAATGTACAAAAATGAATCTTTTTTACCTGAATCACTGAACCATAAAAGCTTAAAGCTCGAGATTCTGAGAAGAAACAAGGAGGATGAAACCAGCTTTAAGCCAAAACGGTTCAAATCAACTCAGAGATAAACCAGCCCAGATGCATTCCCCACACTCTTAGGGACCCACACAGTTCAATCAACACCACGAACCAACAACAAAGATCCGATCAGAATGATAAATAATAATTAAAAAAAAGGGTGCCAACTTGTTTCTCTTTTATTAGCGGGAATCCTAAGACGGCCACGTCATGTCTAATACCGGTGCGACCGCCAAAACCAGCGTCAAAGCCGACTGTTATTCCTCCCGGCCACCACCACAGCCGTCATCACCGGCTCTCTCCCTGGATCGGGAGCGGAAACTAACACTCTCTCCTGGTCTGAAAGGACCGAAGCTCTCTTTTACTTAAAGGGATCCAAAGATTTATTTTTTTTTAATATATATTATTTTTTTAAAAATGTTTAGAAAATATTAATAAATTGAATTATAAACATTGTTTCCTTTTTATTAGTAGTATTTTTCTGAACAACCTTGTTTATTACTTTTAAATTGCGATCGGTTAAAAAGTAACCTTTTGATTAATCATTGTATTAAAAAATTAATTACTGTAATTTTTAAATAATCATTCGTATTTAATCTAATAACTGATTAAATCAGATCATATTTTATGGAGATCAATTGATTATTTTTAATTACTATATTTTATTATTTCACATTTTCATCACTTGGACCGAGTGACAAAGAAAAGTCACGTGGCAATCAGTCAAGTATTTGCGCATATACGTATTTTTTTTTCTACCCACACGATTAGTATTTTCATAACAGAAATTTTTATACGTTTTAAAATTGAAAACTCTGCTTTCCCATTAGGTCTGACGAATTATTTATCTTTTAAATTATATTTATTTTTATAGCTAATTCTTCAGTTTTTTGAAAATATTTGTTTCCTACGTTTAATTTCATTTATCAAATTATTAATTTTTTATATCATTTAAAAGAAAATTAGCTAATAAAGAAATCGACACTTTCAACGTTTGATTTAAACGAAAATAGATAAATAATATATCATGTTTTATTAATTTTTTTCTTCAATTTTCTTGGAATCTTTGGCCTTTTAAAGGATAAGTGATTCATTAAGTTTCCATTAATAAACTTGTTTCTTTAAAAACATTCATAATAAAAAGAAATAATTTATTAAAACGAACAGTTATGGAATCCAAATATTAATAATAAAAAGATATAAAAATAAAATAATTATAACACAAATAGAAAAGTTTTTTTTCACGTAAGCTCGAATTGAAAGCATCATAAAAGATGCATATTTAGATGCTAATGAGGTGGTTAAGTATCCAAAGAGAAGAATAAAGTTGGGCACATACGATAGCAATGGACTCCGTTACATACGAAGTTTATTTGCAAAGCATTGTGTATGAGTATTATATTGAAGGAATATTCTTTTTGACATATGTATCTATCTATCTATATATATATATATATTAATAATTTAGTAGATTTTAAAGTAGTATTGGTTTAAAAAAATTAACCAATCGTCAACACATATACCTATGGATGGGTATGGAACCTAAATTTGACTGGTTTCGATCGGGTCGAATTTGTTTTCAAAAAAAATCGCAATCAGGTGGGAATGGGTTTTTTAATATTATGTTCAGGTCGGGTTCAGGTTTAAAGTGAAAAATATTCAACCCGATCCAATAAAAAATATATATAATTTTACCTTATATATTTAACGATAACTGCAATAATATTCCTTTATATATTATTTTCTTTTAATTAAATCCTTATTTTTAATAAAAATAATATTTTTTAATAAGTATATTATTTCGGGTCAGATCGGGTTGGGTTCAGATTTATCTCAAAAAATTGGATATGGTTTGAGTAGGGTGGAATGTGTATATTTTTTTGGTCAAGTTCGAGTCAGATCAAGCTGTAACCCCCTTAGACCAATACAGATGACTCGATCCGATCAGAGGTGTCATATTAGGACTACCAGAGCAACCCACTGTAAAAATCTCAGAAAAATTAAAAACTTAATAACTAATAGTATAATTTTATTTTTTATTTTGGCTTACAAGCAAAAGAATAAAAAGAGTGTAAATTCCCAAGGAAACTTGAACTCATGTCCCTTGGCATTAGTTTTAACCACATCCTTGCCACTTATACTAGGTCTTTTACGAATTCAAATTATTTAATTTTTATTTATTTGTTAAGTTAATATTTTTTTAATGTATAGATGAATATATTTACGAATGATAAATGAATATGTTTACAAAACGAACACAAATATTTTTAAAAATAAATAAATAAAAGTGAACATGATATTAAAAATTTATATGATCATACGAACCGAATAAAAACACTCTTAAAATAAACAAACGAATACGAATATAAATTTATTTTTTCAAAGTATGATTCATTTACACCCTGACAAGAGTTTTCTCGGTCTTGTTTAAGCACTGCATTGACATTAGCATAATGTGTTTGGCTGTCCCCAGATATATATATATATATATATATATATATATATATATATTATCAATATCCAACTTTCTTCCTGCAGAATGAACCTTAAGTCCATAAAATCATGCTGCAAGTTAGACAAATACAATGGTTCATCATCATTATTATTAACCATCAAATTGGGCAATTTGCTTAATGGTATTTGCTAGAAATAAATATTTAGTTTCACAAACTACTCTTATCACATGAGCCAATCATTAGGAGTGAGTTGACTTCCTCCTCTCCATATTATGTATATTGGGAGAATGTTAAGACAAAAATATAATAATATATAAGTTGATGGTTATTTCAAGTATGATTGTTCGATCTCAGGGATAGATCGAGAGGAGGCGATCGGGATAGTCGTTGTTCTCGAAAATTTTAAATTATAACATGTTTTACATATTTTTGTATTTTCTATTAACAATCTATTTTGGTCATTCTAAAATTTTAAAAGTTTGTTCATCTATCATAAAATCATACATTTATCCTTGGCATCACCAACATGAAGAATTAGCATTTCACTTTCTAAAGATGAGAATTATATACAATATGATTGTGTGATTGGCATTCATGACTTAATAAAGTAGAGATGGTTGGTTTTCATCATTTTAACGACATCCAGTTTTGATTCTGCAATCATTGAACTTGTTATATAATTTATAAAACTGTGTCATGAAAACATGTAAACTCGTAAAATGATTTATGAATACAAAATAAAATTTATCAATATTCCGAAATAAAACAGATTTCAAACTCGTATATATAACAAATACAACCTACATGCCCCCTAATCACCTGCATCGTACTCCACTAGCAACACCGGTAGAACTCCCTTACTGAAGTCGATAGCTGCACTGGTACAATTCTTTAAACCTGAAATGGTGAGTAACAGAGTGAGCTTTTTGGAAGCTCAGTAATACAATACTACCAGTTGATGCTACAAGACAAGCATATAAATGGAAAGCCATAACATTTCCTTATTTAAACAGACATATACATGTTTTTGGGATAAGCTGAGGTTCCACTGGTAGCACATCGAATAGAAGCCATGAGACCTCAGTTCATAGGAAACATTCATAGTATCAAGTTTTCAGGAAATCGAATAGGATGTCTAGTGTGTTCCAACTAAAACCAGTGAAAAGATATAAATCTTTTTAAAACAATATTTTCTTATAACATATTTTCAAAACCATAGTAGAACCCTCCAACCAAACTCCATTATGTAGTTTCCCATAACTGCATCCATAAGGGCTTACCCTAAGCACACAACAAAGGGAGTCAACCTAAGGGTATACCTTGGGGCCTCTAGGCCTAACCAATGGTATTCTTAGGTCTGTAAGGATTTACCAGCTGGATCAGGGTTGTACCTCCGTACTCCAGAATCCTATCCATATAAAAATCCATAAAAATCAATTTTAGCCGTAAATCGTAATATATGGATTGTGATCCAGTCATATGTCATAACCGTGATAATGAAATAAATTGTATAACTGATTTCCACATGTACACCATAAGTAGTCTCATAATTAGCCCGATGGAGTGCCTTGGTATTTTTCCATTACAATGGCATTTTCTTAATTTATCCATTACAATGGCATTTTCTTAATTTATCCCATGTTGTTCTTTCCAGTAATTTCATATCCAGCTAATCATGGTATTTAACCTTTTAAGAACATTTATCAAACTTCACGGATCTTAAAGTCAAATCATTCATTTTTTCGATTGATCTTTCTTTTTCTTAAACGAGTCATAAAAGTCATATTCAGTTACCGACTTTCTATAATATTTGGATCGAGTTTAGAAAGTGATCACTACCTACATGGGACCAATTATACTCATCCACGCAGAAACCAATACCAACATGTTCCATAAAGCATGAAACATGTAGTAATGTATTACCTCAATTTTCGTGCTATACTGATCCACGATTTAAACTCCATTTGATCGCCCTCGAACTTGAATTCAAAGTCCAATAATTCTTCGGATACAAATCAACTGAATTTATGTCAGAAACTGAACTCAATTTAAAAACCATATTGAATTCCGAATGTAAAACATCGAAAAATAACTTACCATGTGCGAATTTGGCAAAATAGATTTCGGATTTGTACTCAGGGCGTTGGAAAATATAAAATGGGACCTTTTCGAAAAAGTTGAGTTTTTGTTCAACGGTCAAAGTCAACGGGTTGAATCAGACGGGTTGACTCAGATTGAGTTGACTCAGACCGAGTTGACTCGATGATTGGATCAGGCGGTCGGGTCGGATCTGACGGGTCAGGTATGTGGGTCGGGCAGACGGGTCGACCCGATTCTGGAATCTTCCCCAGGGCCAAAACAAGCCCCACGCGCATACAGCGACGCGTGCGGTGGCGACAAGGGACAATTCGACCTATCGTTCACTCCCAAAGCATCCTATAAGCATTTCCAACTCAATCAAGCCAAAATAATCAAGCAAAACAGGGAGATTATATATCGAAAAGCAAATCACACCTTACCCAAACGAGGATTGACGACGGGACAACTTCAGATAACGAAATCGGCTTGGTTTGGAGCTTGCGGAGGTGCTGAGTTTGATGGTGCATGTGGTGAGGCGAGTTGATGGTTGGATTGGCCGGAATCGGGAAAAGAAGTGACGACGATGAGGGATGTTCGACGAGCTTTACGGCCTTGATTGGCGCCGATTTACGCTTCGGGGTGCTAGGGCTAAACTCACAGGTCGACGGTGGTTCGAATGCGGTATAGATGAGGTTGAATCGTGTCCGGACGGTGAGGCTTGGGGCCGGCGAAGCTTCGATCGGGTGGGAGAAAATATTTTAGGGATTTTGAAAATTTTGGTTCTTACCGATCAGGGGGGAAATTTTTAACTGGGTATTAAAAATGGGAAAAATTAGGTTTAAGTCCCTGAATTTTATGCACTTCCTAAAACTGTCCAATAGTTCCAGAAAGTCATAATTTAACCCCCTAAATTGAGGTATTACACAAACTCTATATTGATAGCAGAAACATCAAACTCTATGAAACATCCCACCAGACACATCAACCTCATTCTAATTCCGTAATAGTAGTACCCTCATAGGATGCTAAACGTTAGCCGTCATTGACTTCATTGCAAGAAAATTAATATCACCTGGTGTAAAGAACCATCCCACCAGACAATTCTCAGAAGAGACCAGCGGGGTTGCATCAGGATTCCCTAATGACAAAATCTCTTCCACCTCGTCAGATAACTTCAATCCCGCCTACTCTTCCTCAATAACAGTCATAGGAAAAAAATGAAATAGAAAGACACGATCAGAAACAATCAAACCGACATTTTATATATCATAGTTTAAGTTGATATATTTTATATATCACATAGTATTAACAAGTGTAATATAATTTAAATGTTATATTTTTAATTTATGACATAATGTTTATAATGGACATTTTATCTTTTCAAACTCACTTTTTAACAACAATCTCAAACAGTTAAATTTTAAGTTACACTTTTGTATATCACTTTTAAAAGTTTGTTTCTACAATACGTTTAGAAGTCACTTTTCAAAAACTGGCATTGAATCTATGTTCATTACCTTGTATAAATAATGTAATGGTAAATTAAATATTTAGTACCTAAACTATTAATTTTGATCCATTTTACTACTTAAACTTTTAATTTTTTTTAAATCATACCTAACATTTAATTTTTATTCCATTTTAGTACCCTACCGTTAAAAACTTAACGCGTTTAGTACTTAAACTATCAGTTTTGGTCCGTTTTAGTACCTAAACTTTTATTTTTTTCAAAATTAACATTAAATTTTGAACATGGGCACTAAAATGAAACAAAAAAATAAACTTTAGGTATAGTTTTGAAAAAATTGAAAGTTTAGATACTAAAACAGACTAAAACTGATAGTTTAAGTACTAAATACGTAATTTACCCATAATGTAATGATTCTGCACCTTCAGTCTCATGATCCAAACAACCGCAGCTAACGAAAACCAACAGAACCCACAGGTGATAAATACAAAACGTTGAAACTACCAAATATACCAGACATAGTAGCAATGTCCAAATATGCCATTAATGTTAGAGGAAAGAATCAAAGGTTGTATGAGTCGTTTATGAAAAACGAAGAAGAAAGCACAAAAAAGGGTTGCTTTTTAAGAAACCAACAACCGAATGATGCAAAGAAGTACACCCAAAACCCATACTCTCTTCCTCTTCATTTGATTTGCATATCGAAGACTATTAGTTCCACCATTGATAAAACTACCTGCATTCGCCACATTTTCTTCAATGTCATCCATTTTCTCCCCTTCTGCCTCGACAAGAACAGCCATGCATTTCGAGGAACACTTGATGCAGCCTCTCCAAACTTCGTTTACTTTGATATCCATCAATGCTTCATCCCTCTCCTCGTTCCTCGAATCGATTTCGACTTTATCGTTTCCGATGCCGGAAACAGCCTTTCCGATGCCGGAAACAGCCTTTCCGAGCACGTTTTCTCCCGGGAACTCTCCAGTGACATTGTAGTATCTGACTATCTTCTCTTGAGATCATTTTTGTGATCTAACAAGATCTTTTCCCTCAATTCGTGAAAATCATTCATCGTTTGCTTGAGATTAGCTCTCAAACCATTGGTTGAACACGGGTACTAAAATAAAATAAAAACTAAACGTTAGTTAAGATTTTGAAAAAATTAAAAATTTATGTATTAAATTAGATCAAAATTGATAATTTAGTTACTAAACATGTAATTTACCTTATATTTTTATATGGATGATTAGAGCACAAAATAGGGTAAATTATTAGGGGGAATTACTTCAATGCGATGATGTAGAAAATTTTTATTTTTCTAAATATTAATTACTAATAAAAATAATTTCTTTGAATTTATTAAATTAAATTATAATTAAAACAATAAAAATATAAAAGTAAATATGATTAAAAATATAATTGTACAAATTTATTTAGGGTAAATTGTGCGTTCATCTTAATTATCAGTTTTGATCTATTTGAACGTTTAATTTTTATTTCATTTTAGTATCTCATTGTTAAAATTTTAACAACACTGCATTTTTATGGGTAAATTACATCATCACTCAACTATCTTCTCACTTTTATGTTGGTACTAAAGTTTTAAATATTCAATTTAACTACTCAACCTTCAAATTGCTCTTATTTTAATCACTCTAATTTATTTTATTTATAATTTTTTGATATGACAATTTTTATTATTATTTTATTACTATATAAATAAAATAAAATAAATAAAAGTTAGAGTGACTACATTAGGAGTAATTTGAAAGTTATGTAATTGAATTAAAAAAAAACTTTAGTAACTAAAATAGGAGTGAAAATATAGTTGAGTAATGAATGATGCAATTTAACCATAAAAATGTATCACATGCAAATCACCCATTAAGTTTTAATGGCGAGATACTAAAATGAAACAAAAACTAAACGTTATGTATGATTTTAAAAAAATAAGTTTAAGTACTAAAACGAATTAAAACTAATAGTTCAAGTACTAAATACATAATTTACCTATTTATTTATCATGTACCATGAATGATTTGATTAATAGTATTTTAATAGTTTAATGATCTAATTAAAAAAATAATTTGATTATCAGTATATAATAAATCTTATAATTTAATACCTATCTAGATAATTTATCTTAAATTTTATTGTGTTTATTATAATTTAATATATTTTTTAAAATTGGAGGTCATTATTTTTCTGCAATAACATAATAGAGATGATTGGTTGATTTTGTTCTAGTTTGATCCCTCTAATTTTATTTTTCTTACATTTTGGACCCTGTAACTGCAAAAAAGAAAAGGGGTCCAAAACATATAACCATGAAAGCTTGATATTCATAATCAGATTTCAGATATCATCACATAACCATACAAGCTTGATATTCATAGTCTTCACGGTGTCTAGTAACACATCGACTCGATAGATCGCCGACACGACACATGGGACTACAACAAGCTTATTTCGGATGAAACATGGGACTACAACAAGTGGATTGAAGCACTCCGAAAGGGTTCATTTTTGTTTAGAAGAAGGAAAACATTCTTTCAGGAAGCTATGAAGCTCTGATGAATATAAGTTGGGGAAATTCCGGTAGTGATCGACATGAGGAGACGTTCCGAAGTTCAAGGAGAATACCTTTATCCCTTTGTTGCTCATCTTGTCAATGCAGAACTCGACCGATTTATACGGAACAACCTTATCGGCTGTGCTATAAAGATATAGTTGCGGGCAGTGCGGATGGTGCTCCAAGGCCGCATTCACGACCGCTCTAAACTTCCTGCAGTAGGAGCAACAAGTCACAGATAGCATCAATCGGTTGTTTATTGCAACCACAGGTCCACAAGGTTTGATCATACACATAGAGAGCAAATAAGCATAAAGCGAAAACCGACCTCTCTACTTCCGGCATATTTAGAAGGGATTTAAAAAACTTTTCCAAGGAAGCTAGCACTACAGCTTCAACCATCTCCGGTTCCGCTTTCTGCGGTTTCGAATCAGTCACTCCATTTTCAGATCCGTTTTTTGAGTTGTTGAGTTTCTTCAGTATTGCAACAGCAAAACCAGCTGCCCACACCTGCAAAGTTGAAGAGGATATGTGAAGCACCACTTCTTTTCCCATTCGAGTTGATCGAAAGGCCAGAGTTTTCAAACTCGAGTTCATTATTTCAACGAAATGAACCTAAACTTCTGTAGAACAGCAAGTGAGGTAAAGAAATTTAACCATGGAGACAAATACCGAGTTATACTAAGAGATCATAAGAACAAGAGCAAGAAAACAGATTAAAAAAACATTTCATTGGAGCTCACAATCAAAGAACTTGATGCCATTAACTTTGGATCATAATCTAAAGTATTGCTAGCAATACACATTCTAATATCTTTCCTACAGCGAATTCTCGAATCCGAAATCGAGAAAACAAAGCACAAGTATTTAACTTTGATCATCTTTTGATTCCACAGTGTTCAATTCAAGACCAGATCAAGAGTAATATTAGCTCAACAACTCAAGTGCATAATTTGACATTAAGAACATTAAGAAACATAGTTAAAAACACCTTGGGATTTAAAGGGTCAGCTGATCCTGAATCAAAAATCACTCCTTTTATCATCTCTTTCAACCCTTCTCTTCTCTGAAAACGCTCGATCACTGAACCATATCTGCCCAAAGTAGCCAAATGATGCCAGATTTTAGTTTTCCATTGGCAAAATTTCAAAACCAAAGCCATTTTCGGTCATAAAAAAGTACTTACACAAGCCAGCCAGTGTTGCTAAAAGTATGGAAAATGAAGCACCTTTCACGGCCATCTTCTTCTTTCTCCGAACCCCAAGTGGCCAACCCATTGGCCAATTCAGCTATACGCCTGTCAAGCATCGAAACCGGATCCAAGCACAGCAAATCCTTGAGTTCAACAAGAAAAGTAACAGCATGTATTCCTCTTGAATTATACCATTCAACGAATTTATTCAAATGCTTGTTGGTAGCCCCAAGCCACCCCAAAAGAACCACGGTGGTCACTTTGTCTGTATTCCCCAAAGCCTCGGCTTCTCCACCGCCGTCGATCATGATCTCCGGAGCTTTGTTCCAACCCAAATACGTGCCGTTGGCGGTAGATTCGGTGAACGCGTTGAAAGAAGAAGAAGCGGGGAGAAACGAAGATGCAAAGGGATTCGCCTGAGGTCTGGGAAAAGGATTGTTTGAGAAGCTTTGACCAAGTTTGAGAAAATGGGTTCTTCTGAAACGAGTTGGAGATTGTTGTTTTGGCGTCTTCCTCGTTATTATCGAAGGGAAAGTGAGAGCGTTAGAGTAGGAAGCAGCTTTCATGGTGGAAAAGAAAAGACTTTGAACAATCAAGAACGAAGAAGAAGCTCGGTGCTCTGCTAAAATGGCTACTGATTTCACTCGTCAGATTTTCCAACTCGTTCAGTAGACTCACCTACTTTCTCTGATCATGTCAGCGCTGGCTTGACTCTTGAGCATGACAGAGTAAATTTCCATTTGGGTCCTTTGATTTTTGATTTAATTCGATTGGGGTCCACTACGACTAGCTTGTCTCGAAAATGGCGAAGAACTGTTAAGAGGAACATGGTTGTCTGAACATGGAAATATAAACAATTGCTCATGTTACAAACACTTACCTACAGCTATCGGAGAATCTTTTACATATAAAATAGGTTAAACTACTTATTAAGTATTTAAACTATCAGTTTAGATTCGTTTAAGTACTTAAAATTTTATATTTTTTAAAATCAGACTTAACGTTTAATTTTTATTCATTTTAATGTCTCACCACTAAAAAATTAATGTATTTAATACTTAAACTATTAATTTTGCTCTGTTTTACAACTTATACTTTAAATTATTTTTAAAATTTAACGTTAGATTTTAAATATATATTAAAATAAAATAAATACTAAACTTTAAAATCTAAAACTGCATTAAGTTGGGATTGATTATATTGGAGTCAAATATTCAAACCTAATTGGAGTGAAATACTGCATCGGGATTTGAGTAATTGAAGCCCGCGCTTCGTTAATTGAAATTATTTTTATAACCGTATTTAATTTATTGATTAATTAATTAAATCGAATATTATTTACGTAAAGATGACTTTCTTATTTTATTCATAATTATTCGAAATCAAACTCTTAGGTCTACATCATGTATCTCGTCCAATTAGACCAATCGATTTATGGTACATTTGATGGTGTTTTGAACATGAAATATTGTAATTTGTCAATGTACAAGAGACCTCTTCAACTATGTAAAACTTAAATAAACATATTTCATCGGTTAATAAAATAATTAATCTTTAATTTTTAATATTTTTTTATTTTATGGAATTTTGATCCATTTTACTTTCTTTTCCTAAAATTCTCTTTTCTCGCCCTTCTATATGGTATTGATGGTATTAAGATTATAATTAAAATTTGTTAAAAAAATGAAAAAAAAAGTAAAAATGCAATAGAGATCTATGTACTTTAAAAAAATCAATGAGACATTGTATTATTTTTTTCTCTTAATTGGACCCTTCAACTTGAAAAATAAACATAATGTGACCTATTAACCAATATTTTTTGCATCATTGATTGTTACGGTAATGATGTGACAATTTACAGTGCTGGTGTAATAATTCACGATACTGTCATGATAGAAACTTGTCAATCTCGAAATGATTGATTTTAATAAAAAAAAAATTTTAAACTTTTACACTGTGTGAACACTAATTTTCGTCCGCCCAAACTACCCAAAGTCAATAAGACCAACATGTGGCCCAACAGAACGCCCCAGTGGTCCAACCCGAACAGCCCCCCGCATCCCTTCATCGCAGCTCTGTCAACCGCCGCTTTTCGCGGCCACACACCAACAACCCCGTTTTTCAAGCGATTCTCTCGGACAAACAACAACAAGCAAGTTAGAGTCCCATTAGGATTCTTGTAGACTAAAAATAGTTTTTTTCATTATTATAATAGCGGATGTAAAACACGCATAGGGGATATCACGAGATACACAAGAAATTACCGAGAAATCATACGAAAAATAGAGGGAAGGTTCGAAAGAAAAGCAAGAAAAAATCGGTAGCAAGAAATATATCCCAACATCCACATATCAATCGGAAACAATAAACACGTTCGAAAATATCAAACAGGAGAGGGGAAGCTCACTGCTACTGTCTTCCGCCATTAAGAGCCACTGTTGATCACTGGAAAATTTTCGCCGTTTACCGTGGAAAGTGTCGTTGTCTTTTGACCCTCAGATCGAAGGTGAGTCTTCGTTTTTTTTTTTTTTTGATTTTTTGAGAGTTTTGTTGTTTTTATGGTATGGATGGACTACAAGTTATAAAAACAAGATTAGGAGAAAAGAACTATTTTTTTCGGATCAAGATGGGGTAATATGGAAGAGACATGCAAGAACATAAAAGAAAACTATGGATTTAATTCAAGGGTTTTGTTTCTTTTGCTTGGAATTGTGTTGTAAAATGGAAAAGGAGAGCAAAAAGGGGGAGGAGATCAGGAGAGAGCACGGCTGAAGCATAATTAAAATAGGGGGCAGATTCATTTTCACGTAGGAGTCCTAGGAATTTGTGTTTTCCCAAACTTTTTGGTCTAAGTGGAAAACAAGTCATCCAAGAGTCACATATTTTTGTATTTATCTATATTTTTTATTTTATTTTAATTTGGTCACTTTGTGTATATTTATTGTTTCCCTGAATTTTCAATTAATGCAATTTAACTCATTTCCTTATTTTTTATCTAACACTTTTTCATTTATATATATATATATATATATATATATATATATATTTCATTCTTTTTTATTTGTTTTGTCTTTCTTTTCGTTTTTGTTTCATATGTATATACGTTTTTTTCTTCTTTTTTATTTATTAAATCTTATGTCATATAGATATATATGTTATTTTTTTATTTTTTATTTTTTAGTTTATTATTATTATTTTTTCACCTAGATTTAATAATTTTTGTATTTTTTCCTTTTGATTTTTTGATTTATTTTATTTTTTATTTTTATTTTGTATGTTTTTCTTTGATTTATCTAACATTTATTTATTATTATTTTTTCTAACATTTTCGACTTTTTTAGAAGAACTCCAATCAATCAATGGTAAATAATTTGAATCGGGTTTTTAAATTTAAATTTAAACTTTTTAATTTTTGCAATTAAGACAACCGACGAATTAATTGGTACCTAAAGGGTGGTTCAAGGGTGCTAATCCTTCCTTGACCGTGATCGACTCCCGAACCCGACACGTTTCTAGTAAAACGCAGAGAAGGTGTCCGATCTACCCAAATATTGTTTTAAAATAAATGATCGGTGGCAACTCCAATTTGTTTAATCCAAGTCGAAATCCAATTTCGGGCCCACTCGAAAGACGATTCCGACACACTGATATGATTAAAATTAATAAAAAATTATATTTTACTAAAACTTATTATTTTGAGGTGACAAGTTTAAATAAAAAATATTATTTGGATGAACTTATCATATCGACATGAAAAGTTCATTAAATACTATAATAAATATTATTGATCTTAAATTAAAAATACATGTGCCCTAAAACCCTAATTTTTTTCCTAAGTGCGATATTGGACCAATTTCGTCAAATCTAACACTTTACATGGATAAACAAAACAGCAAGGTGGATTCGGGGTTTGGGCTTAAAATGAGCAACCTTGTCCAGTTGGTAAGGAATTGGACACTTAAATCACAGTTTCTTCTTTCCCTTTTGGGCTTTTGCACTTTCCTATGTTGTCCCAAGGTTCATGCACTTATCCTGCTTTCTGTTCTTCTAACCAATTTCTTAATCATTTTACAACCACTCCCACACATGTTTTATATATTATAATCACACTTAACTGTTATGTGTTCATAGTATAATCATACTTATGAATTCATAATCTCTGTAGTCATATTCTTCATTACATGTGACTAATGCATGTATGCATCATGCAGGTGCTTAACTCATAATAAAGACAGATGAATATATGAGCATTAGGTTAAGTTTGACAGTGAACTTGAAGCACACCGACATTAAACATTAATCACCAAAGTTAAAAGCACAAATTCACTAATCTGGTGTGTTTAGTCCACTCCCCCACCAACCTCCACAACTACAAGAATTCAAACACCCTTATCTCATGTCATGTGCAAACTAATCTGGTGTGTGTGTGTGGTTTTTTTGGTAAAGTTGATGTAATAAACTTCATCAAGAAGCGACGTTAACATTGATTCTTAAGATATGGTTGGTTACTTTAACCTTTTCTGACTTTTTGATAAGACATGGAATCATTGATTTCATTATTACTTTGGGTGCAATTTTTAAACAATGAAACTTGAAACCTTCACCATTTAGTTGTGTTGCACTTATTGGCTGGGTGGGGGGGGGGGGGGGGAGGAAGGGCACCCTACCATGTACTTAAAAAAATCAATGTACACCTCATACTTTTTTTTTTCATCTAATAAGGTCTTTCAATTTTAAAAAAATCAATCTAGTCTTTTGACAAACGTTTTTCATTATTAATTAACATCGTCATTAATTTCTACTGATGCGGCACGTTTTTCGTTTGTTTAGTGCTCAAAAAAGAAGAAAGAAAGTCTTGTCGCTATAAACCAATCGCTGCGACCACTGTCGTCGCCTCCTCCGGTGGTCATCATGAACTAAGGGGCAAGGTTGAACCGTTTTGGTTCCCCAAGGACGAATCCTTTGTCAGTTTCCCAAAAACCTGCTCCAATGATTTCAAACCTACAAAAATACTCTTCGATCGCCGTGGGTACTATCTCTCTGATCTTCCCCGTCTGTCGTTGGATGAAGCCACCTCCACACTATGTTGCTTGCACCTTCATGGATAATTTCTTTAACACTGGGATTTACCAACTGCCACCGAAAACTCCGCAAATCAAGACGCAAACGTGAATATATATATACCCTACAAACATAATTATTCGAACTCATTATCTCCTAAAAGAATACTACTCTCTTTTATCATTAAAACCGCTCAATTAATTCAATGAAAAAATTTGAATATATATAAAAGAACATTATTATAGTAGTTATTCTTAAATATATAAAGAATATGCTACAATAATTATCTATGTTTGATCAGGTAGAAATTTTTTACCACATATCCGACTTCGTCTTAACTTTGATTCTCTTCTTCACAAAACTCACCCACTCCAAATTTGAAAATCTAAAAAAAAAACAATTAAATCTATTGATTTAAACCGAGTTAAAATTCGTCAAACTATATCTCATTATTTTATAATTTACTATTATTTTAAGCTTAATCATATAAAAGTCAAAATTATACTAGTTTTCTTAAATATGTGTCCAATTTTTTTTAATTATCCAGGTGTTAAACGTTACAAATATTACCACTTTTAAAAAATCTCGAAACTTTTAAAAAAATCATTTTAACTCATAAACCTACTCCGGGTG